TCTTTGTGTGGGATCTGTGCCTGTATATTTAGTGAGTGTTTCCTGAAATATAAGTGAGAGTGTATTAACTAAATCTATATCTACATTATCAGTGATTGATGAGGAAATGTCTGTAGTATCATTAATGGTAGTTGTTGTATGTGTACTATTATCAATGCTTGTTGCTGGATTATCCTGACAGGTTATGTGATCTTCATTAATGTTAAATGTTTCTGTCTGTTGATGTATTTGATCAGCAACCTGTTGTTTGATAAGTTCAAGTGTTGTTTGTGGGATAAGGTTGTTGTATAAAATTGCAATCTCATAAAATTGCAATTAACTCTACTCGGTATGACACTAAGAAACTATTAAAGTGCTATAAACATCACAATTAACAACTGTCCGTATTCCTCACCATCATAGTCTCCAGCAAATACAAAGATACTGAACTGTTAAACCTCTACAAGAGAATGAGGGTAAACAAAGTGCTTATCTATATATATAAAAATGAATGTGTGTGTGTTTTTCATGCATTACCACACCGTTTATCCGATTGCCATGAAGCTTTGGGAAGTTTTTTAATACACTCCCACAAAGGTTTCTGGCATTTATCCTACGATAGATGGCGCGTGTTTACACAAGCATTCGAGCACGTGTGTTCGATCAATTTCAAATTGTGAAGACCATTTCCCCCCTTCAAAAAATATCTCTATATATGCATTTGTGAACTGTTATTTACGATATTTGTAATAATTTTTGTTTAATCACTTTATTTCAACTTTTTTTTGCTAATTATGTATTCGCTTGATCTTTGTTAAAACCTTAACTGTACCAAGAACAACAATCGAAGTTGTAGGAAAAAATTCGCGTATTTTACCGATCTAGGTATCTCCCCTTTTCCAAATTTTATTATGGACTCAAAATAATTTAAAAAGACAAATTACAATAAAACAGTTTATTATCCAACTATCAGAAATTTCACAACATGCCAAGGAAGAGACAAAGGAGCAATTAAATAATTAAAATTATAAAGGATTAAAATATATATATATATAAAAATGGGGAATATCGCACTTCTGACAATCACTGCGAGTGTGTGGGCCAAATTTGGAGAATCCGTGCTTCTCGCATGGACAACTGTATGTGGCCGGCTCACGCGTCGGAAAACATTCTGATTTATTCGTGTACGCACCAGACGGAAAAACAAAAAATATAGTGTACCCACAAACACTCCAATAAATAAATAGAATTGAAACTACACTTTGAAATGTTTTCCTGATGAAAATGAATAATAAGTTTCAATAAAAATGATAAAATGTAAATTGAATTTTATCATAACGAGTTTGCTTGAATTTCCTTTCTTCTGAGATCGCAGCAATGCGTGACGGGTAAGCTAGTATACCATAAAAATGCTTATTGGCCAACTCATGTCCTATCTCCTACATTAAATGGTTCAGTATAAGTCTTTTATTTTCCATGCGAAAAATACTTGAATATTTTATTTTCCCTAAAAATATTTCTTGGAGATACAGGTGTGTAAAATATGCATGGAAATACTGTAATACCTTCCTGTTTGAATTTAGAAAAAAGTGTGTTCTAAGTTTAATAACTTTCATGTTAGGAGATAATAGTAAAATAAATATTTCTGATGTCACTTTTTCTAAACAGTGATTGGATTAAATGTATAGAATTTCAGCATCCTATCAGCCAATTTGATTACAATCCATCAAGTTTGGTTGTTTTGGGACTGTATTTTGTATTATCTGTTTCCTGTATAAAATGTGACTGCACAACATCATTTATTTGACAACTTATTACATTTAACCAAAGAAATCCATCGGGTTGTTATATGAAGCAGCTTCTTTCTAAGCAAGCTAAAATACAACTTTCACTTCAGAGAAGATAGGTGGAAGATTGCAGGCTAATTGCAATTTTGCTTATCATGTTTTTAATTTGTCATGTTTTGGTCACATTGTTTGGAGTTTGTTACTCTGAAAATTGGCAGCTCTAGATTGTTTGTAACTGTTAATTTCAAATATCAGTAACATTTATAAAATATTATACAATATTTGTTTTTCCAAATTGGATATTGGAAAATATTGCATTGATGATTCAATGGTGTCAACACCACTGTATAAATTCAATATCAATACTGATTTGTCCAAAATTTTAATTATTTTATTATGACATTATTATTGTGTATGAAGATCCAATATAAAGTTAACCAAGGTAGGTTTTCATTTGGTAGTACCCAACCATGAAAATATATTTGATACATTACTTACAATGATATGACTGACTGTATGTATATCATATACAGTTTAATCCAATTATAATGTCATTGGATGTAACGACAACCCTAATATAACATCAAATTTTTATCAGTCCCACAATTTTACTATACTAGATAATTTAAAAAACTCACTTGTAACGACATAAAACTCTGTTTTAACGTCATA